AGGATAGGGCTCAGGATAGGGTTAGGGTTAGGGTTAGGGTTAGGGTTAGGGTTATGACTCAGGATTTGACTCTGGATAGGGTTAGGGTTAAGGTTAGGGTTATGACTCAGGATCGGGTTAGGGTTAGGGTTATGACTCAGGATAGGGTTAGGGTTAGGGTTAGGGTTAGGGTTAGGGTTAGGGTTAGGGTTAGGGTTAGGGTTAGGGTTAGGTTTAGGGTTAGGGTTAGGGTAGGGTTAGGGTTAGGGTTAAGGTTATGACTCAGGATAGGGTTGGTTAGGGTTAGCGTTATGTGTAGGGTTAGGTTTAGGGTTATGCACATGGTTAGTGTTTGGGTTAGGGTTAGATTCTGCCCCATGCCTTCTTGTCATTTTGGGAGCTGGACAACCTCGTGGCTGAGACGATGTTGCCCGGAGGCGTTTCTCTTTGCAGGGCCCCCCCTTGTCCCCCCGCATGATCTGTACCCCGTAACTGGTTCACCTCGCCTTCTCCCTCCACCTGCAGTTCTGCTTCCCTGCGTCATATCTGTCCCTGTGCCCACAGCATTGCCTGTGGGGAGTGCGGAGCTGAGGTCTGGCTGATGTTACGGGATCGGAATGCGTGCTCACACGGGCCTCAGCCCTGTCTCTACTGAAGTGACAGGCAGCCCAGACCCACTGGCTGGTTGGTTTCAAAATCAAATTTTTATGGAATACGATCAATAAATGTTATTAAACCTTAATCAGGAAGAAAAAGAACTAAAAGGCAGGATCAGGCATGAGGAGCTGCACGCGTCCCTGACCTTCCCGCCTGCAGGCGCTGCTGGAGGACGGGCTGCGGCTCCGCGGCTCCAACCTTGCCAGTCTCTCCCGGGACCACAGGGATCCAGGGAAAGCGTGACTTTCAGCCGCCGTAGCTGCCACCTGGGCCGCGGGGACTCCTCGCTGGGGCTCCTCACGTCCCCTTCCCGGAGCGCCGCCTGCTCGGGGACCTGCCCGCCCGGACCAGGAGGACCCCCTTTTGTGATGACCCCCTCCCGCTGTGACTGCACACAAGTGGGACTGGTCCTACCTGTCGGGCGCATTAGAACCCCCACCGGGGAGGGGAGGTGCGACTGGCTTTAGAAACATGGTTGGGAGGGAAGTTCAGCCTCCAGCGCAACACAGGGCTCCAGTGTTTGAGGCGAAAGGATTGTTCTGAGATTAGGTTGTGGTGATGGCTGTGCAGCCGACACAGCGGTGGGAGGCCGCCTGTCACTGAGCCAAACCCGCGGGGACGGG